CTATGGCTCCCACCTGTAACCATGTGCCCCATCCATGATCATGTCCCCCCACCAATGATCATGTCCCCCCACCGATGAGTCATGTCCCCCACCTCCATTTTGGCCTTGTCCCTAAAGCTGGGAACCTCCATGTGCGCCGTCACGGGCAGCCCCTCGCGCTTCTCCTCCGCCACCTGGCGCCCAAACTCGTCGTACACCCGGTCCACCAGGGAAAGCGCCACGCCAAACGGCCGCACGGGGTTGCTGATGTCAGCGGCATGGAGAACGGCCTTCATCTAGGGTGGGGGATGCGGGTGGGGGGCGGGGGGTGTGCAGGTGTGAAATCATTGGGGGCGAGCAAGGAGGAGGCGTGGAAGGAGTGCGGATGGTTGCGTAAAGAGAAGGCGTGTATGGGGCTGCGGGGCAGGACGACAGAGCCCCACGCGAGATGGCGGAAGGGTGCGACTGGAAGAGCCTTAAGTGAGCACGGCAGGCGGGCCATCTGAAGGGACGTGGGGGGATGGCGCCGGGTCCCACCAGCAGTGCGCGGTCCGCCTCGCTGTCGGCCGAGAACACGGGCGGATGCTGCTGCAGGTCCTGCGCAGGCGCCATGAGAGGGAACGCGTGGGAGAGAGGATTGTGAGAGGGCCGCGTCAGGTGGGCGCGCGTGGCACGCACGCGCGCGCACACACACACACACACACACACACACACACGTGCGCGCACACACACACACACATACACGCACACACGCACGCACACACACACACGCACGCACACACACACACACGCGCGCACACACACATACACGCACGCATGCACGCACACACACACACACACACACACACACACACACACACGTACACACACACACGCGCGCGCGCGCACGCACACATACACGCACGCACACACACACACACGCACGCACGCACGCACACTCACTCACCTGTGTGAGGCTGAAGTGGTGACTCATGTCGGTGGCCAGGATCGTGTCCACCAGCAGCCGCCGCGCCACCCGCCAGTCCTCCCGCGGCAGGCCCGCCAGCAGGTCGGCGCCGCGCGACCGCAGCACAGCGAACGTCAGCGCGCAGTGGTGGTTCTCCTGGACTGCGCGCGGCACAGGGCGGCGGGTGCGACAGGGGCGTTGGGTCACGGGACACGAGGGTGAGGATTGCATGCGCATGGCCTGCTTTCAGGGACGTGCCACCTGCCACGAAAAACAGTCCTGCCGGGCGCCCGCAATCCACCCGCGCAAGAGCCGGGCTCCGCCTTGCCCCTCTCTAGCCCAGAGAGCCCCTGGACCGGCGCATGGGGCGCCCCCCCCCCTGCCCCCAAACCTGATCGATCGTTGTAGCGCTGCGCCAGCTCTGTGTGTGCGTTGATGTGGTAGCTGTTGCTGCGGCCGTCATGGTCGAGGTCGTGGCATATGGCGGCCACCAGCAGCACCAGCTCCTCGAGGGGGGACAGCAGCTCGTGGGCACCACTCAGCTCCAGGATCTGGTTTTGTGATAATGTGTGTGTGTACGTGAGTGTGTGTGTGTGTGTGTGTGAGAGAGAGAGAGAGAGAGAGAGAGAGTGTGTGTGTGTGGGTGTGTGCGTACGTGCGTGCGTGGGGCCAGGGTTGTGCCGGGGTGGAGGGTGGGTGCAATTGGGCCAGTGAGGTCGATGGTGGCGAGGAGTGCCGATTCGGGCGGGTGGCGCAAGTTACAATAGGCGAAGACACTATGCAACAAGAAAGGGTGAGATGAAACACGCACGGGTGACGGCATGTTTTGCCAGATAAGGCAGGCTCATGAGGTTTGAGCTTGCTGGATGTGATTGCTTAGCAAGGGTGCTGGGATGGGTTGGTATGTGGAAAGGGTGCGGCGCGGGGGCTGAGGGAGGGGAAGTCGGGTGCAGTGACCATTGCCCCCACCCCCATATCGTGGGGGTGGGGGCGGTGTTGCCATGTATCGAGCGGGCTTGTGCAAGGGGAAGGTCACTGGGTGAGCACTCATGCAGGCGGGTGCGTTAGGCCGGGCAAGAACAAATGGCCACACGTGATGATCTTTCCGGTTCCCTGCATCACACCCTTTGCCCACTCCCAGCACGCCCCTTGCAACCCCCAAACCCTTGACCGACACGCACACACACACAAACACACACACACACACTTCCACTCCCCCCATTACACACTCTCTTTCACTTCATCTCCCACACACAAACACAAAAAAGTCGAAGGCCCCCACCCAACCCGCCTCACCAGCCAGGTGGTGTGCAGCACCTGCACCGCGTGGCTGAGGTTGTGGTAGGGCACCGCCGCCGGGTCGTGGTAGTGGCTGGCCACGGCGCTCAGGAAGCCGCTGAGTGTCGCCTCGCCCACCCCCATCTCTTCCAGCACGCCGCTCAGCATGAAAACGTCAAAGGCGACGCGCACGAGCTCGTCGCGCGACATGTGCATGCAGTCCAGGTCGAAGCACTGCAGCCGGCCGCCAGACATCGGCCGCGCGAGCGGCGGCGGCTCGCCCGGCGGCGGGCGGCCGAGGACTGGGAGGGAGAGCTGCCGCGGCAGCCGCCGCGGCGACAGCGGCGGCGGCGGCGAGGGCGTGCGCGCGTCGGCGGGCGCGAGCGCAAAGGCGCTGCCCTTGAACGACGCGCCGCCGGCGAGGAAAGCCGGCGGCCCGCCGCCGCCGCCGCTGGAGCTGCGGGCGCTCGCGCCGCCAAAGCTGTCGCCGCGTGCGCCCGCGGCCCTGGGCCACGCCGCCGCCGCGCGGCGGCCGTCCTCGGAGCCCGATGCGGTGCTGCCGGCGCCCCGGCCCTCGTCGCTGCAACGAGAGCCGCGCTCCACGTGAGAAACGGAGTGCGAGAGCGTGAGCGGGCCGCCTGAGCTGATGCGTGCGTTGGAGAGCATGCTCGAGCCGCGGGATACAGAGTCCCCGGGGGGCGGCGCGCGGTCCCTGGAGGGGGGGGTGGCGTGCGGGGC